TTTCATACGTCGAGGCTGCTACTGTAACTGAAGACAGCCTAGCTGATATGAACTCTACGGGTCTATAGCCATCGCCATCTGCTGTAACACGGCGCCTATGCCATATTGGCTTGCATCTGTCGTGACGACAATGGGCAATGAGGGATCGGCTTCCTAGACAACAGGATACTCTACGGAGGCCCTCTTTAATCTCTTTAGGGCCGAGGTATAGTCTTCGTCCCACTTCCAGATTGCTTCCTTCTTTAGTAGTCTGCAAAGTGGAGCAACGATAGTAAAGAAGTTTCTCACAAACTTTCTGTAGTAGTTGGCCAATCCTAAAAACGATCACAACTCAGTCAGAGTACGAGGAACTGGCCAGTCTCTAATTGCTCCTATCTTGCCGTCCTCTGGTTTGATGCCATCTCCGTCTAACACGTGGCCCAAGTACAAGACTTCTTCCTTGGCCCACTCACACTTTTTCGTGTTAATCTTGAAGTTGGCTTCCCTCAGTTTCTCTAAAAGCTGCCTTAGATGGCCCTCACTTCCTTGGAGGGACTTGCTAAATACTAGGATGTCGTCTAAATGTACTACGGCGAATTTATCTAGCCACGGTCAAGAAAGGACAGTACCCCAAGGGAGAAAGAAAAACCTACATGACTGGACATTCTGCCACTGCTGCTGTGTAACAAAAGGGGTAAAGCTACCAAAGAAACACTATTCCCCTAATTTTCAGCGCATTAGAAATTTCACGAGCGAGCACCTTCAGAGTCCAGACAACGAAGATACATCAAGGCAATATCATGAAAGAAAGAAAAACCTACTCTGCCACTGCTGCCGTGTAACAAAAGGAGTAAAGAATCTAAAGATACCACAGAAACACTATTCCCCCAATTGGCAGCGCATTTAGAAAATTTTCACGAGTGAGCACCTTCAAACAACGAAGAACTACACCAAGGCAACACTCAAATGCCAAGTGAACGTGAACTCAAAGAAGGTTGCATACATTCAGGGTTAGTCTCCGTGTCAGTATGCCCTAAGATGAAACGACACGAGAACACAATAGGAGAGGTCACTGAGGCATTGTACAACACCTTTACCTGATTTACTCACCATCAGACTGCCAATCAACGACGAACTGCAGGATGGAAATCATCATACGCTTATGAGGACAACACATTTCAGCCAAGAGTCAGGAGATCACTAACTGGATGAGCATACACCACCACCAACAACGCCCGGTGTAGTCCCCACCAACCAGAGATTTATGATGGTTGAAGAACTGACACACAAGGAGTAGGAGGTGTGATAGTGAGCATGCAGGTGAGGATCGTGCCATAAACAAGTGAGATCCTTTGACGGCATACGGCTGGGCTCGTATCAATCCATGATGTGAATTGCAGCATTGATGAGAAGAAAACCAATACACCGATAGTGAGCTTTCATGCGCTCCAAGAAAAGGCCGAACAGAAAAACAACACACCTATTGTGAGCTTTCACGAGCTGCAAGAAAAGGCCAAACGGGAGGGAGGAGAGGATGGACATCAGATAAAGGCCACATTGAACAGCTGGACAAATTCTTTCTTGATTTGGAAACTCCGAATGCAAGGAACCTAGGAGTTGGTCTTCTTCAGCTACGCATGCTGTTTTCTACTCTGGCCAGACTTCTTGAATCCCGTTTTGCTATGCCTGACTCCTAGCCTATGAGATGAAGCACCGTGTCTAGCTTTACCCGCCAAGAACCTGCCTGCGGTTGTCGTCATCTTTCTCGTCCGTTGTTTCTCGCTGCCATCTCCCCTTCCTCTGTCTCCATCAGCATCCCCCTCATCTTCACTTCCTTGATGTGCATCTTCTTGGGCTCCTCGCCTCTCCTTCCTTCCTCTCTTTGAGGCCTTCCTGTTGCCCATGAAGGCTGCAAAAATGATAGCAAGAAAGTGTCATTTTGTTGTTTCCCGTGCTTGTGAGACACATCCACAATGTATATAGTACTAGATGACCTGTTGCGGCTTCGCTCGCAAAAACAAACGCGACAGGTGATGCAGTAAAAAGGTGGAGGCAACCGACCGAGGCAAACTCACTCACTCTCTCTCTCTCTCTCTCTCTCTCTCTCTCTCTCTCTC